GCTCGGATTCCCACTTTCGGATCCCGGCGGCGGGCCTTTGGGAGGGCGTCTTTTCGTAGGTCAGAGTCTGCGAGGCGAACAGGTTGACGTTCCTTCGCCTTTAAGGAGGTTACATTCTCCGCACGGCCTTTGTGCAGTCAAGTGAACAAACAGCTTTCTGTGAAAGTGCCTGAGAGCCGGCTTCTGCCCTTCGGTTCAGTTTACGTTCATCTGTCTCTGCCCACCATAACGTTAGACAAAGACGAGGCTGTCTCTTTTGGCAGCCCCAGTAGAGTATGTTCTGCCAAAGACGTGGAGTTAATTTTAGAGTTGGATGGGTTACAACTACTGTAGTTTGGTATTTAACTTTTGAACCTCAGAGATCTCCTTAATAAGTACTTCTTTGAAAGGACTGGCCCAGTGATAACCCCAGAGTAAGGAATCCGGAGGGGAAGATATAGTGGATAGTGGAGAAAGGGAGATCATGAACAGAAGACTTGTTTCTCGTTTTCTCTTTGTTTTGAATTTTTATATATGATTAAATTACTTTTTCGACGAATTAATAAGAGCAGAGATTTAAAATATTTAAAAAAATAATAACATTAATAGCAAACAAGGAAACAAAGTATCTTAATGCTTATCAGATACAACATTCATAGTTGATGTTAAAAACAAAGTCTGTAACTTTCCATGATTTTTCCAAACATTTGCTGCATTCCCTAGAAGATGATCAAAGGACTGTCTCCATTCACTAGCTTCTTGCGGTCAGACTGTGTCTCCTTTCTGGCTTGCCACCCACTCCAAGCCCAGCAGCCTGGCATGTGACAAGCATAGTAAACTTTGAAAATATTTGTCAGATGAAACGCTCACCCAGCTGAAGTACACCATTAGACAAACAAGCCCAGAGAGGTTTGTTGACCTGACAACATGAAACTAGAAAATAACAAAGTCACATCATACTTTTCATCTTAGATTCAGTTGTGTACTTGGCAGGGGGGACATGAAAATGTTAGAGTGCAGCAATTTCCTTGGCAATCTCCAGAGCTCATACTTGTCCCAGATCTTTGTTCTCTGGTGTCTCATAAACGTGAATATCTTACTGAACTTATACTTAATTTAAGAAACTTCTAAGTAATTTTTATTGTGCTCACTTTTGACATTATTTGCCACCTTTAGAATCTTATTTCCCTTGCTACCTTACTGTGTGGCATTTAATGTTTATAAAATAATTTCAAATGTATGATTTGACTGAACTCCACTGTAAACTGAACCTTCAAGGAACATAATATTGGTGGGGTGTTGTTATTCTGTTATTTTTGCTTTCTGAATGAGGAAATAGTACCGCAGTGGTGGATGGGCCTATAGTCATATGGCCTGCAAAGAACTGGTCGTCCTTGCAGAGATCCAATGGGATTAGACTGGATTGAACTGAATTATGATAATTGCTCTGGCCAGAAGTGGGGGGAGAAGGTGGTGATGACCCTGGTCAGAGGCTTGAGCATCACGAGCAATTTAGAGAGAGACCTTCTCTCTCAACAAAAAGAGATAGGAATGTAACTCAGTTATAGAGTACTTATTTGCCTAGCATTCTAGAGGCCCTGGGTTTGATCTCTAAATGTAAAAACAAAAAACTTGGAGATTAATATTTAATCATATAGAACTGTGTTCCCTGTGGGTTATGCAAAAGACGATCCCCCATTTATGTGCCTATGGAGGAAAATGGGGAAATACACCTAAAGTTGTTGGGGTCTTTTTTTGTTTTTTAGGCAAGAGGGGAATTGGGTTTTTGTTGTTGTCTTGTTATTGTTGTTACTGTTTTAAGACAGGGTCTCATTGTGTAGTTTAGGCTGGCCTTGAACTTGGTATATAGCCTAGACTGGCCTCAAATTCATAGGGATCTTCCTGTCTCAGTCTCCTGAGTGCTGGAATTACAGGTGCACAACACCTTGCCCAGGGAAAAGTTGATGTTTAAAAAAACCTTAAAAATACATTTTTATTTATTTATTTATTTTTTTCTGTATTTTCTTTTAGGGAAGCGTCTACAGGGTGAGGGTGTTCAGGTTCTCACTACTAGATTGGACTCGTAGTGATTCTTCTGTTTACAGCCTCCCAAGTGCTGGGATTACAGGCATACAATGCCAGTCTCAATTGCCATCTCAGTACAACCTGGGGCGGGGCGTGGCAGGCCCAGGGATTGAACCCCGGTCCCTGCGCCTGCTTGCAGGCACTTTAATCTGCTGAGCTATTTGGCCGGCCCTTAAATTTTTAAAAAATAAAAATAAAATAACTTTTTAAAAACCATCTGACTATAGTTTCTTAATGTGTACCTAAAAAAATTATTTTGAATTACTGTGGTAGCATATACTTGTAATCCTAGCGCTCTAGAGACTGAGCCAGGAGTATTGCTGCAGATTGGAGGTCAGCCTCAGCTACATAGTTAGTTCAAAGGCAATTGACCTACATAGTGAACAAAACAATTATTTTGAGACAGGGTTTCACTGATTTGCCCAGGCTGGACTCAAACTTACAGTCTTCCCTCCAAGTCTCTCAGGAATTACAATATCATCTACATTTTTCGGCTTTATTTTCTAAGTTATCTATAATGAATTTACATTTTTGTGATGAGAAAAAGGTTATTTAAAACAGTGAAAGTGTTAATGTTTGATAATGCCCCACTTGTCCTACTTTCAGGTGAACCTTGCTGAATTGGCAAATGAGAGGGTGTGGTATAGTAATGTGCAATTTCAGGCACAATCCCAAGACTAGTGAGGAAAGGATTAGGAGAAAACGGACCCTGAGAGCAGACTAAAGTAGGCCATGTGTACCTTTACACACATTCATAGGCTTCTGATGACAGAGCCATGGCTGGATTTTGTTTCCGATCAAACCCACTCCCAGTGTTAGGGGACTGCTATAAAAGCCTAAAGGTGAGGTTATTTTAATTTGTGACTCTTAACATTCAAGTGTAACTGATGCGTTTGCTACTAGGCTGGTTGCAATTATGTATCCCCTCTGAAAATTAGTAATGAATAAATCAGCTGAAAAGATTGTATCTCCATTTTGCATGAAAATAATGTGGAAGTGAGCAGAGTAGATGCAAATTTCTATGAAACAAAATTGGTTATAGGTTGCTAAACCTTTGAAGTTGAAAGATGACTGCCTAGAAATTTGTTATGTACCTTAAACAACATGATTACAATTTTATTTATTTTTGTAGTATGGGAGAAATGTACCCAGAGCTTCAGGCTTGCTGGACAAGCACTCTACCATGATTCCTACCCTTTTTTTTGGTTTGAGATAGTCTCAGTAAATTGCCCATGCCGGACTCATATTTAAGATCCTCTGTCTCAGCCTCCCATGTAGCTAGAACTACAGTGTGCCATAACACAGAGCTAAGTCCAAACAGAGGCTAGATTATAGTTTGTGATTCAATACGATTTTGTTTTGTGGATTTTTTTTTGTTTGGTTCATCTTGTTTTGGTTCTGGGAATCACAGCCAGAGTGTGTGTATGTGTGTGTGTGTAATCTATCTTATATATAAGCAATAATATAGAGAGATAAAGATATAGATGCTTGTTTCTGGCTTAGGTTTACTGAAAATATCAAATATCAGAAAGATTCAGAGGACCCCACATGGTATTTCGAAATTGAGTCCCATTTAGGTGGAGTGACTTGCAGTTTAACAAACTGTCTATGGTGACTTACATGTAGATGTCTCCCCGAAGCCCATGTGCTCATAGATGGAGCTTTGGGGAAGTGACTGGATCATGGGTGTGGTACTCCATTGGTCTGCTGGATGATGGATTTACTAAAGAAGGGAGACAGTCCCTGGGTGTGCGACCAAATAGGCTTGTAGCTCATGTAGAATGCAAAGAGAAAGCAGAAAGAAGGCCTCTACTTCTTGCTTGCCCTGCCATGAACTGTTTCTCCTCTGCCGCGCCTCCCTGCCTTGGAGCCAGCCAACTATGAACTGAAACGTTTACAAGCTGTGAGCTAAAATAAACCTTTCTGGCTGGGCATGGTAGCCCATTCCTGAAATCCTAGCCTTTGGGAGGCTGAGGCAGGAGGATCATAGAGAGTTTGAGGCCAGCCTGAACTATGTAGTAATGCCCTGGCTTAAAACACCAAAAAATAAAAATAAAAAACTTTTTATATAAAACATACCTTGCCTCTTGTAATTTGTGGATGTTGGATATTTTGCCCCAGCAACAAGAAAGTCACTAAGATACTGCCAAAGCCCAAAAGTTGAAGCATTTATTTAGTGTCAAGAGCTATTTCAGTGATCTGATCCAGGGTAAGAGGACTCCAGAACACATTGACCTCTATTTTCTCTTCCTGCAGTTCAGTAGAGACACTCCTCACCTGACCTCTTTCTACCCACTTCATCAGATGCATGACATACTGAGCTTACTTGTTACAGAGCTTCTTTCTCCTCACATGTGCTCATTTAAGTAGAAGGCG